AAAAAAAAAAAAAAAAGAAATCTGGTCCTTATTCTGAGGTTTGAAATACAATTTGTGAAAATCACTACATCCCCATGTGACCCTCTCCCAGAAGCAATGCCTTCTACATCCTTAAACCTGACCAGGGTCTAAAGAAACACCCCTGACATTCTTGGTAGCTCTTTTAGTCAACTCATTTATAGACCTTAGTTAAGAAAAAGACTACAGGCCCAGTGTGGTGGCTCATGCCTGTAATTTTAGCACTCTAGGAGGCCAAGGCAGGTGCATTGCTTGAGTTCAATACCAGCCTGAGACAGAGCAAGACCTCGTCTCTAAAAGTAGCCAGGCATTTCGGTTGGCACCTGTAGTCCCAGCTACTTGGGAGGCTGACGCAAGAGAATCATTTAAACCCAAGAGTTTGAGATTGATGTGAGCCGCGACACCACGACACTGTACAGGGCAACAAAGTGGAGGCTCTGTCTCAAAAAAAAAAAAAAAAAAAGAGAAAGAAAGAAAGAAACAGATTACATTGTCCATACACAAAGGCACCATATGTAAGCAGAAGCAACCAGTTACTGCTCCCACCATGTGCGATCAGAATCCCATCTGCAGCCAGATGCAGATAAGGAAGACAGAAAAAGCATACAAGAACGATGACTCAGTTAATCAAATCAGTAATTTAAACATAGAAAAAGGGGGGAAATCATTTTGAAAGATAAACAGCAACATATTCAAACTAGGAAAATACATGCTATGTATGTCTCTAGGGAAAGATTCTCTATTTGGCCTCCTCCAAAAAGTGACATTTTACCAAATATGACTTCAGAACTTGTACAAAAGCTCAAGAGAACAATAAAAAGATGTGGGAAGACACTGTATTGCCATCCCAAAGATATAAGGTACAACAGGGTCTCTCAGTTGTATACAGGAGTCCCCAAATTATAAACCTCCAACTTACATACAACTTGCACTTATAAATGAGATTATTACAGGTAATAGGAAAATGTACCTGTTTCAACTTACATACAAATTTAACTTAAGAACAAACCTACAGAACCTACCTCGTTCATAACCTGGGAACTGCCTGTAGTCTGATTATAGGCTAAATGTATGTAGATATACTGCTTACTCTAGTGGACTTCCATACAAGAAAAGATTTCTCCTCCAATAATTATACATATTGAAGCAGTGTTACAAAAATGAAAGAAGAAGGTATAATAGAGTGAAGCAGAGAACAATTTTAAGGACAGTTTAAAGCAAAAAACGAAAAAAACCCTACGTTTTCCTGTGGAGGCAGGTACATAGATGGGTAACGCTTTCACAGAATTAAGAGAAACAAGTATGTTACCTCACTTAGGATTACCTAAAAAGGTCCTGTCAGAACCTGAAAAACCGAAGTGCTAGGGAACAAAGGGTTCTGAGGAGGGAAAAGGAGGGGGAGAAGAAGAGAGAGTGAGAGGAAGAAGCGTACGGAGAGAGAAGGGGAAGACGATAGGTAGGTGAGGGTTAGGAGGGGAGAAACGGAAAACCACCCAAGCGGACACGTATAAAGAGTCAGATAGGGCTCTCAGCCAAGAGACTGAACGAAAGATGGGGGTGGAGAAGGGATACAGAATTGGAGAGAAACTTCGTTCCCTACAAACGATCTTGGCCCAATAAGCAAAGCCTGTGAGGGGAGAGGGTGTAAGGGTAAGGAGATGATGCTAGTAGCCTTCTTCTGAAGGACCAAGGAAGAGGCTAGAGACAGGTCGAGATAAATTCCCATCGCAGGGAGGGCGCTATTTTGATGGACCGGAGAAGGGCAATGGGGCAGGCTTTGGGAGGTGGAGGAGTGAGGGCAGCTACAGCGCTGAAGTGAGGGTAGCAAGCTGGGGCAGACTTCTGGGCGGGCGGCGGGCGTGAAGTAAAGAGCCCAGGGGCGCGCTCCCCAAGGCGGGGGCGGGGCGGCATGGCCGCAGGCGTTCCTGGAGGCGGGTACCAAGCGGGACAGCCTGGCCGAGCCTCGCGCTCTAGCCTCGCGCGGTCTATTCTCTCGCAGGCCCCTACCTGTCGATGCCACCTCTCAGTCCTCTTAGTCGCTAGATTGGCCTCCCGGCTACTGCCCGCAGGTTGTCAAGCATCCATGATCGGCCCGGCGTCCGACGCTTTTCTGCCTCCGCCGACCCGTCGCCAGTGCAGCTCCCCTGGAAGCCTCTCACCACTGCATTCACGTTCCGCCCACACAAGGTTCCCCCAGCTGCGTTGACAACCTCCGACCTCCAGTAAAGGCGGGGTCGGGGGTAGGGGCCAGAGAAAAGGCTGCTGGGGAACTGGGCGGGGGAGGCCAACTGCTAGGGGCCCGACAAGCGGAATTCGGCCAGGCGGTACTAGGCCAACCATCGCCATCTCCGACCTGGGCACGGATCCTCTCCTTAGGCTGAGCTTTCTCTTTCAGGAGAAAGCTGTGGTAAAGCTACCCCTGGGTACCGAAACATGTTAAGCCTAATAACTACCATTTGTTGCCAGGTTTGTTATGCACCAGGAGCTGTGCATGCGTTATATCCTTCAATTTTCTTAACTATGGCTTGCCATATTATTCCCATTTTTCAAGTGTGTTAATTAAGGCTAGAAGTCCGAAGTCAGTCAAAGCCCTCTTTGAAACCCAGGATATCTGAAGCCAAAGACCATGTTCCTATTTTCTATTCAGAAAATGTTTTAAAATAAGAGGGCCGGGCGCGGTGGCTCACAGCTGTCATTTTAGCACCACAGGCGAGTGAATCGCATGAGTGCAGGAGTTCCAGACCAGTCTGAGCAGGAGAGAGACACTGCCTCTACTAAAAATGAAAAAACTAGCCAGGCGTTATGGCAGCACCTGTAGTCCCAGCTACCCAGGAGGCTGAGGCAGGCAGATCACTTAAGTTCAAGAGTTTGAGGTTGCTGTGAGCTATGATGACTAAATGGCACTCAACCCCAGGGCAACAGAGTGAGACTGTATCTCTAAATAAATAAGCAAGAGTTGGCTTGAGCCAACAATGGTTCTGTGTCCAAAATGTCACTTGTAGCATTGCATTTGGTGTTTACCAACTCCATCTTGGGAAGATGGCTAAGAAATACTACATAAATGAATACATAAGCTGATTCTTTTAAAGCATTCACCACAGACTTTTAGGTCTTGAAGAGGAAGACAAAAGCCCTATTTGCCTTCTGTGTATTAGAAGTGCAGAAATCAGACAGAAAAGATGCAAAAAAGCCTAGCCCAACCAATTCATTAATTTACAGTATTCAAAAAGTTTCTTTAACATATATTCTGTTCTAAAAGGTTCCATGAAGATAAAACAAGGTTCTTGCCCACAAAAGTGCCAATGTGTTAAGGGCTATAAGAGAGAGATGACAACACTTTGGAAGCACAAAAGAGAAGAGACTAGAGAAGGAAAATAAGGCATTCTCCAGGCAAAAAGTGAAAGAAAAGGAAGTAGTGACCATAGTAACAGAGCTTGCACTGTGTGGCTTGCACTTGCACACTGCATTATACTAATACAAAAAAAGAGACCCTGAATGGCTTGAATCTGGGGTTCAGGGGTGAGACATGAGAGGAAAAGAGCTGGAGTTTGGTCATCAAGGTCTTAGAATCCACAAGCCAGCTACTATACCCAGTAAAATGCTCAGTATAGCAAAGTTCCTATCTTTTTTTTTTTTTTTTTTTTTGAGACAGAGCCTCAAGCTGTCCCCCTGGGCAGAGTGCCCTGGCATTACAGCTCACAGCAACCTCCAACTCCTGGGCTCAAGCGAGTCTCCTGCCTCCGCCTCCCAAGTAGCTGGGACCACAGGCGCCCGCCACAACGCCCGGCTATTTTTTGGTTGCAGCCATCATAGTTGTTTGGCGGGTCCGGGCTGGGGATTCGAACCCACCACCTTAGGTGTACGTGGCTGGCGCCTTAGCCAGTTGAGCTATAGGCGCCGAGCCCAAAGTTCCTATCTTGGAGAGCTCATAGCCCCTTGGGAGAAACAGGCCTTCCCAGCTGTGACACAGGGTTGTCTCAGGCATCCTCGGTGTACAGATAAGACTCTTCTCACTATGCCTTGGGGAGAAATGATTTAGGGCACGCTTCTGGAGTACATAAGACTTGAGTTGAATCTGAAAAGATGAGCACACAAATCACAAGGGACATAAAGCAGGTGAAGGGAGTTTTATTTTATCTTAAGGGTACTGGGAGACCATTTGACTTTTTAAACTGAGAAGAGGTATGCTTAATTCCAATTTAGAATGATTGTGCTAGGTGCCATAGGAATGGATTGGATGTGAAGAGAACTGGAGGCAGGAAAACTCTTGAGGTGATTGAGTTATTTCAGAGATCTTGAACAAAGGTAGTGACAGGTGGGGGGTAAAAATGAAAGGATATTGTTGAAGATCTTTATTTTATTTTTCCCCATTTATTTTTTATTTGTATATATTCATGGTACAAGTGCAATTTTGTCACATTGACATAATGCATTGTGGTGAAGTCTGCGCCTTCAGTGGAGACTTTAATACTACAGAATCTATGATTTGATGGCCAGAGAGAGAAGAACATGATCTAGGATTCTGGCCTGGGAAGCCAGAGCTATTTGAAGCCAAAGTGAACAGGTTGTAGAGGACGAAAGGCAAATTTGGGAGCAAGAGGAAGGTAACTGACTTCAGTTTGACTTTGTAAAAATTCCAGCAATGCCTCTACTTCCTCTGAAATGACATTTAGACTCCATGGCTGCAGTTAAAAACCTTCATACTGTGCCTCCCTCTTAATTCCTCCATCTGTGTCTCACCCCATCCCCCTCTGCAGCCCAAACTCCCATGTCTAGCATGACTTATACTTTCCCTCTCAGATACCAGGCCTGTGCTCACAATCTCTGTTCCTTTTTACATTCTTTTTCTTATTTGCCTGCAAGAACCCTACCAACTCCATAGGCAAAAATTTCTTAAATTCAATGTAAAAAGCACCAACCATAAAAGAAACCACTGAACCGGCTCAGCACCTGTATCTCAGTGAGTAGGGCACCAGCCACATACACAGAAGCTGGAGGGTTCAAGCATGGCCCAGACCTGCTAAACAACAACTGCAACCAAAAAATAGCCAGGCTTTGTGGCAGGCGCCTGTTGTCCCAGCTGCTCAGGAGGCTGAGGCAAGAGAATTGCTTAAGCCCAAGAGTTGGAAGTTGCTATGAGCTGTGACACCACAGCACTCTACTGAGGGTGACATAGTAAGACTCTGTCTCAAAAGAAAACACTGAACTATTACACCATATTAAAATGAAGAATTTCTGGCCAGGCATAGTAACTCATGCCTGTAATCCCAGCACTTTGAAAGGCCAAAATAGGGGGATCACTTGAGCTCAGGAGTTGAGACCAATATAGTGAGACCCCCTTCTCTAAAAAAAATTAGAAAAAATTAGCCAGGTAAGGTGGCACATGCCTTTAGTCCCAGCTACTCAGAAGGCTGAGGCAGGAGGATCTCTTAAGCCTAGGAGTTGTAGGTTGCAAGAAGCTAAAATGACACCATTGCACCCTATCCTGGGCAAGAACGATACCCCATTTCCAAACAAATTTAAAACTTTCTGCTTGCCTAGCACAGTGGCACACATTTGTAATCTCAGCTACTTGAGAGGTCGAGGGAGGAGGAGGATCACTTCAGCCCAGAAGTTCAAGGCTGTAGTACACTATGATTGCACCTGTGAACAGCCACTGCACTTCAGCCTGGGCAATAAAGAAAGACCTCGTCTCTAAAAAACAAAGAAAAAATTCTATTACAAATGACACCAGCAAGAGAGTAAAAAAAGACAAGCTACAAAGCTTATATCAAAGAATTCCATATACAGACTACGTAAAGAACTATAAATCAGTAAGACACACAGCCCAATTTTAAAAAGTAGGGAAAAGCCAGGCTCAGTGGCTCACACCCGTAATCCTAGCACTCTCAGGGAGGCCAAGGCGGGTGGATTGCCTGAGCTCGGGAGTTTGAGACCAGCCTGAACAAAAGCAAGACCCCATCGCTAAAAAACAAAAAAAGAAAACTGGCCTTTGTGGCAGGCACCTGTAATCCCAGCTACTCGGGAGGCTGAGACAAGAGAATCGCTTAAACCCAACAGTTTGAGGTTGCTGTTAGCTATGATGCCACAGCACTCTACCAAGGGTGGTGCAATAAAACTCTATCTCAAAAAAAAAAAAAGGAGGGAAAAGACTTGAACAGGCACTTCGCAAAAGATGACCTTCAGGGCGGTGCCTGTGGCTCAAAGGAGTAAGGCGCTGACCCCACATGCTGGAGGTGGCAGGTTCAAACCCAGCCCCAGCCAAAAACTAAAAAAAAAAAAAAATGCCCTTCAAATTATCAATAAGCATATGTACTCAACACATCAGAAAAAAATGTAAGTAGGCAGTGCCCGTAGCTCAGTGGGTAGGGCACCAGCCACATATACCAAGGCTGGCAGGTTCAAACCCAGCCGGGGCCTGCTAAACAACAGTGACAGCCACAACAACAACAAAAAAAATAGCTGAGTGTTGTGGCAGGCGCCTGTAGTCCCAGCTATTTGGGAAGAGAATGGCTTAAGCCCAAGAGTTGGAGGTTGCTGTGAGCTGTGATGCCATGGTGATATAGTGAGACTCTGTCTCAAAAAAAAAAGTAAGTAAATACCTTAAGGAGATAACACCTTTGGCCAGAATAGCTAAAATTTAAAAGACTGCAACAAACACCCTGTGTTGACAAGGATAAAACTAGAACTCTCTTACATTGCTGGTTAGGCATAAGTTAGTACAAACATTTCGGAAAACTGGCAATACCCACTATCACTGATGATATGTATATCCCTTTTGCTCAAAACATGTGCCCATGTCCACAAAAGAAGACAAGAATCCTCATTACAGCAATGTTAATAATCATCAAAAAAATGATAACTCAAATGTACACTAACAGTAGAATAGATAAATTATGGTATACGCATACAGTGAAATACCATTCTGCAATTAAAAGAAAAAGGTGGGCGCCACCTGTGACTCAAAAGGGTAGGGTGCCAGCGCCATATGCCAGAGGTGGCAGGTTCAAACCCAGCTCTGGCCAAAAACTGACAAAAAAAAAAAGAAAGAAAGAAAAAGCTACACACAGCATGGATGAATCTCACAAAAATACTGATGAATTAAAAAAAAAAACCCAGAGGGCGATGCCTGTGGCTCAAAGGAGTAGGGCACTGGCCCCATATGCCGGAGGTGGCGGGTTCAAATCTGACCCCAGCCAAAAACTGCAAAAAAAAAGATACAAACTACACTGAACATACTGTATAATTACATTTAAGTGAAATTTAAGGGAGCAGCGCCTGTGGCTCAATGGTGTAAGGCACCAGCCCCATATGCCAGAGGTGGCGGGTTCAAACCCAGCCCCGGCCAAAAACTGCAATAAATAAATATATAGATAAGTGAAATTTAAGAACAGACAAAATATCTATGGTGATAAAGTCAAAAGAGTAGTTATCTTCAGATGTGAGGACAAAACACTGATGGGGAAGGAGCACAGGGTGTGCAGGAAATGTTCTATATCTTGATTTGCATAGTGGAGACAGTACTGTATACATATGTGAAAATTGTTCCTTTACTGTATATATGTTATATCTCATTATCAAAAAAACTTAAAGGCTCCACGCCTGTGGCTCAAGTGGCTAAAGCACCAGCCACATACACCTAAGGTGGCAGGTTCGAATCCAGCCCAGGCCCGCCAAAACAACAATAACGGTTGCAACCAAAACATAGCCAGGCATTGTGGCAGGCACCTGTAGTCCCAGCTATTTGGGAGGCTGAGGCAAGAGACTCGCTTGAGCCCAAAAGCTGGAGGTTGCTGTGAGCTGTGACACCACGGCACTGTGCCAAGGGCAACACAGCAACCTCCAGCTTTTAGGCTTAAGCAATTCTCTCAGGGGGATAGCTTGAGTCTCACGCTGTTGCTGTAGCTGAGACTACAGGCACCCATCACAACACCTGGCCATTTTTTGGTTATAGTTGTCATTGCTGTTTGGCAGGCCCAGGCTGGGTTTGAACCTGTATGTGGCTGCTGCCCTGGCCCCCGAGCTACAGGTGCCGAGCCTAAAAATAACATTTTTTTAACATAGAAAAAAATCCTACCTATCATTCAGTTTGAATGCCACCTCCTCCATAAAGTTTTGCCAGCTAGAATAAACCTCTCCTTCAGCACCTCTGTAGCATTCTGATGTCATTTCTTTTAGGCAACTTATCACTGTCCATCTTGAATCTCAGTGGAGTCTCCTTATTACTCTAAATAGATCTTTTTCCTGGTGGCAGTGACCACATCTTTCACCTTTTACCCACTTAGGGCCTGACAAATAACAGAATCCGAAAACATGTTTGTTGAATTACATGGAAGAAAAAATTGGGTGGGTGCCCAGATGGGCGAAAGGGAGGACAAGAAGAGGAAGGAAGGCCAACGAAAGGACATATGAGGTCTCCAAGGAAACCATGCCTTACATTGCAATTTTACCCACTTCCTGAAATCACATTAAATGTCATCTTGAGTAACAAAGAACAAAACATTAAGTCCTACCAAGTCTGAAGATAAACAAATATCACACTCCCTCACTTGCAGGAAATCCACCAAATAAAAGCCACCTAACCTCTGGGTGTTTCAACCCTGAATGGTAAATCTGTTCATCAAGAATGATAATCACATTGCCACGCTGCTAAAAATATCACCTCCTTAGGGTGATGCAAAGAGCCCAGACCCCAAGTCAGCAGATGTAGGGCCGAATTCTAACTCTGCCCCAACTTGCTGTGATCTGTAGCCAATCTCTTTGCCCCTCTTATCCTCGATTTCCTCATATATAAAAACAAAAAGGGTTGGATTAGCAAATTCTTTAAAGTCCTTTTCTGTATTGACATTTTGAATATACACTCTATAACTCTCTTAGTCCAAAGCAGGAAAGTTGCTGCACCAGAAACACCTGCAAAACACGTAAAAGGTGCCTCAGATCAACAAATAAGCACGATTTAAAGAAGTCATTTTGTTATATTGTCTTGGACGGTTTAATCAGTGTTTTTGTTTGTTGTTTGCAGCCTTACCAGAATTTGCAGAAGATTTCTGAGTTCCATGTAAACAGTAGTTAACTCTTGGTGGGCTGTCATCTTCTGCTAAGGATGTGAAGGGTCTTCCCGCCTGGCTTCAAGTCTCAGGATTCAGAAACCACCACTCTGCAGTGGGGTTTATGAATTTGCGCACACTACGAGGCACAGTGGAGTCTAAGTTACAGAGGACCGGAGTGCGAGGACTGCTGGGATTTGTAGTCCCTGGGCCCTTTGTGGCGTGCTGGGATCTGCGGTCCTCCGCCGCTCCCTTGGGATGCTGGGAAATGTAGTCTCTGTCACATCGCACAGCACAAACTGGCTGTCGTCTCAGACTGCTGGCGTGCTCAGCGGCAGAAGTGGGCACCTCGTGCTTCTGAAGATCTCAAGACAAGTCTCCGCTGGGACAAACTCTAGGCAACAGCACGAAAGAAGAATTTTGTCCTATGGGACTTCCCGGGGAGAGCCCGCCTCATTGACGCTCTTCGTCCCCCTGCGAAGCCGCTGAGCATTTCAATTGGTTTTCCGGGATGCCAATCGTTGAGGAGGGCTTTCCATTGGCTTTGGGACTGGCGCTCCGAGGCTAGAGGGAAGGAGAAAGGATCAGGAGCGGGAGCTGAGGGAAGGGAAAGGCCGGTCCGGGTCTGGCAGCTGCCGCTGCTCGCCCGACGTCTCCAGGCCCGGCAGCGGCTGCATTATCAGCCCCTGGGCACCGTGGGAGAGGCTCCGCCGACCAGAGTGGAGAGCCACGGGCGGCGGCCGCCGCATCATGTCAACCAAGGACGAGCGGGCCAGGGAGATCCTGAGGGGCTTCAAACTGTATCCGCCCGGGTGCTGGGCGGGACCGGGAGGACTTGGGAGGCGGCTACTCCCTTGAGGAGACTGGCCAGGACGGGGGCTACGCCAGGTGGGCGCCCGAGAAGGACAGCGGGAGGGGTGGGGAAAGGAACGGCGTGCAGGGAGCCCTGGCGAGACTGGCGCGGGAGGCGGGCAGCGGGGCGTCCTCTGGGAGGACGGGAACGTTGACGGTGCCCCGGGGGGTGGGTGGGGGCGGGGGAATCCTGGGGGACAGGGCTGCGAGAGGTGTCGGAAACGGGTCTCGGAGAAGCTGGCTGGGTTCAGAGTTTTGGCCGCGACCCAAAGGCCGGGAGTGGGCTGCGGCCCCAGAAAAGGGTGGCGGGGGCGCGGTGGGCTGATCTCGAAGCCTAAACGTCCTTTTGGCGGGAAGCCCACCGCGGGAGCAGAGAAAAGTGACTTGGAGCAAGTGACCTTGGGTGGGACTAATGCAAATGCTTGTGTTAAAGTCTCTCGGTCCCCTACCACACCCCCACCATTTTGTTTCCACAACTTCTTTTCCTCACTTGTGGCTTTCTCCAGGGCTGGAGTAGTAGAGGAAAGCAGAGAAAAAGAAGTCCGAGATCGACCTCATCTTCATCTTTACTGCCTCTTGGCCCTTTGAGGCATTGAATGGCCTCTGCTTTTGCGCTCAGCTCCTCAGTTTTCTTTCCAGTAAGATGAGGACCATGAGCTTATGTGTGGGCTAACTTGTGCTGGGCCCAAACGTACCTTGGCTGGCTCCTTTTGGTGTGGTTAATGCCTAACTATGGTGGAGCTGTCCAGCAATGCTTTGATGTCGCTGGGGACACGGTAGGATATGGAAATCATTGTCTTGGGCCTGTCGTGGTGTCTCTTTTGCAACTTTCTCTCCTTAATGTAGTAAGGAAGCTTTGTATATTAACAAGTGTTAGTCTGTAACCATGCAATTTTATATATTCCAATTTTATATTCTTTTCGTGACCTTAATCTCTTACACCCTATCTATAGAATATGGAATATTCTTAAATTCCTCTCTCAGTGAAAATGTAGTCATCACTTTAGGACTTCTCCCCTGGAGGTTTAGTAAAACCCTGTTTTCTTGCAAATTGTAATTGTTTTGCCATAATCAGAAACTAAGTTAGTGGCTCGGGGCCTGTGGCTCAAGTGGCTAAGGCGCCAGTCACATATGCCTAAGGTGGCGGGTTCGAATCCAGCCCTGCCGCCAAAACAACAATGATGGCTGCACCCATAAAATAGCCAAGCGTTGTGGTGGGCACCTGTGGTCCTAGCTACTTGGGAGGCTGAGGCAGGAGACTCGTTTGAGCCCAGGAGTTGGAGGTTGCAGTGAGCTGTGATGCCATGGCACTCTACCCAGGGGGATAGCTTGAGGCTCTGTCTAAAAAGAAAAAAGAAACCAAGTTAGTAATTGATTTTAGACCACAGTGCAAAAAAAGGCATGGGAAGTTTTGGATGTACAAATGAACTTTTTCAAATGGAAACTGCCCCGCTATGGTCTTTTTTAAAAACTGAAGACTGTATCATCTTTGCATACTGCCATTTGCGATAAACTTTTCATACTTCTATGTAGTGACAGCCACCATTATAGCTCTAAATACCCTTTCCATGTTTCTCTTCATATTGGAGCATGTAAGTTGTTAGGGATGACTGACATGTTAGAAGAGCTATGACATGGATTTTATTTTTCCCTTGAGTAATGTATTACTTAACATCTGTGCTGGCTTGGCGCCCATAGCACAGTGGTTATGGCACCAGCCACATATACCGAGGGTGGTGGGTTTGAGCCCCACCCGAGACTGCTAAACAACAATGACAACTGCAACAAAAAAATAGCCAGGCGTTGTGGCGGGTGCCTGTAGTCCCAGTTACTTGGGAGGCTGAGGCAAGAGAATCGCTGAAGCCCAAGAGTTGGAGATTGCTGTGAGCTGTGACACCAGGGCGCTCTACTGAGTGCAACATGACACATCTCAAAAAAAAAAAAATGTGTGCTATGGACGGTAAACCCGAGACTATGGGGAATTGTGAAATTTCAGAAGCAATGTTTTTGTTTAATTGAAATTAACATATTTCTGAAAACAAGAAAGGTCTTTTGATGGCTTTTGAACCTATTGAGATAGAGGCTAAGGGATAAGGCTATTGAGATAGAGGCTAGATAGAGGAAAAGTAGAAAGCAGAATCTACCCACTAGAAGGAAAAACAAATTAACCAGTTCGGTGATGTTAGTGCATCAAGAAACAGGCTTTGGCTGGGAGCAAAGGCTCATTCAAAATAATCCTAATACTTTGGAAGGCTGTGGTTGGGGAATCACTTGAACCCAAGAGTTTGAGAACAGCCTGAGCAACATAGAGAGACTTTGTCTCTACAAAAAAATTTTAGGAATTACCCAGGTATGGTGGCATGTGCCTATAGTCCCAGCTACTGGAAAGACTGAGGCAGAAGGATTGCTTGAGCCCAGGAATTGGAGGTTGTAGTGAGGTATGTTGATGCCACTGCACTCCAGTGGGACCTGATCTCAAAAAAGAAGAAGAAAAAATAGGTTTTCAGACAAAGCTTGACCTGAGCTAACCATATCCTGAAAGAGAAGGGAAATAACAGCCACATTAAAAAGTTAGCATAGGCTCGGTGCCTGTGGCTCAAGTGGCTAAGGCGCCAGCCACATACACCTAAGGTGGCGGGTTCGAATCCAGCCCGGGCCTGCCAAACAACAATGATGGCTACAACCAAAAAACAGCCAGGTGTTGTGGCGGGCACCGTGGTGGGCGCCTGTGGTCCTAGCTACTTGGGAGGCAGAGGCAGGAGACTCGCTTGAGCCCAGGATTTGGAGGTTGCTGTGAGCTGTGATGCCACAGCACTCTACCCAGGGGAATAGCTTGAGGCTCTGTCTCAAAAAAAAATCTAAAAAAAAAAAAATTAGCATGGACCAAGAGTGCTCATCTTCTAGTAGCCTTTATTGACATCTGAGAATCAAGAGTAAAAAGGAAAGCAGAAATCTTAGGACACACTACTATCTTCAGGGAAAAAATTAAGTTAATTTTTTAGTAAGAAATTACCTAGTGTAAGTGATTTTTCTGAACTTTCTGAGTATCTCGTTTCTTGAAGAATAGTTTTATTTTGCAAAAAGAAAGCACTATTATGTTCTTCTACTAACAATGTTGCCAATATTCAGTTTTCCACATAGATTATGTCAGTCTTTCTTATTTTTGCCAATTTGAACAACAAATGATATTTTATTTTGCATTTTCCTGAATCCTTAGGTCCCTAGAGAGGTAATATAGCATAGTAGTTAAGAGCTATACTGGCTGGACTGGGAATCTCTACTGCCAGCATTGGAGTTCTAGACCTACACTCCTGATTGTGTGTCCCTGACCAACTTCTTTAACCTCTTCCTCAATTTTCTCAAGTGTAAAATGGAGATAATAACCCTCCTATCTCCTTCTCTCTCATTAGTGTTGTTTTGAGAGTAAATGAGTTGGTATCTACAGCATTTAGAAAAGTACCTGATGCATTGTAAGCAACATATGTTAGCTGTTACTATCAGCTGTTACTGTCGTTATCAGAGAAGTTGCAAATCTCCGGTTTGGCTAGTCTTCTGTGAATTGCTTGTTAATTTTGTTTTTACCTATTTTACTGTTGAGTTGTTTATTTTTCTGATCACTGTGTGGGTGTTCTTTATATACTTTAATATCAATCCTTTGCCTCTTAGGTATGTTGTAAATATTTTTGTCTCAATATAGTGCTTGTTTCCTTTTGTTGAACAGAATTTTTAAATTATTTCAAATTTATCAGTATTTCCCATCGGGCTTCTGCATTTTGTGTCTTGTTTAAGGAGACCTTTCTTATCCCAAGATTAATTAAATATCCTCTTATCTTTTCTTCTCTTTTCAATGTTGAACTCTTTGATCCACCTGAATATACTTACGCATTTGGTGTGTGATAGAAATCTAACTACCTCTGTTGTTTGGATAGCCAGTTGTCCTACTGCTGTTTACTAAGTAGTAAGTACATGTTTTTCCCACTGTTCTGAAATACTGTCTTTGTCATATACTAAATTTTCATTGTACATAGGTTTATTTTGAATATTTCAATTACATTGATTCATCTATTCTCCTGCCTGAACACATCTGGTTTTATTATAGTTCTATAGTATGGTTGGATCATGGTCTGTCATGAACAGACTACATGTGCTTAAAATCATAAGGTCCATATAAACATTTGTGTGCACAGAACCTTGCCTAAGTGCCCATAATAGAAACATAAGTATGAATTAAATATGCATAAATCTGGTATAGTATACTCCGAAAGAATTCTTTTTTTTTTTTTTGAGACAGAGCCTCAAGCTGTCCCCCTGGGTAGAA